TGGGGCAGCCATTGTAACGGTCGCTCGTCCCCTCAGTCGGGGCTCACCTGAGCGCGGGTGTGAGGAGAGGGCTGTGTGGCAGGAGGAGCGCTGAGGAGCGCTTTTTTTTTGTGCTGAAAGAGAGAGAAAAAAAAAATCTGAATAGCGACTGAAACGGGTGGGACAACAATCAAAGGGTAAAAGGGCTTTAATCTCGAGTATAGGCAATTACACACCTCAGTAAACTCAGACTTCATTCAGAGCCTTTTCCCTTCCCTTGTGCTGGTGCAAGGCTTGGCCATCGGTTATCAATCAGGTGTGAAGGCAGCACGGGTTGTTTGCTCCCTGTGGGCAGCTTTATCAGGCAGCATCTCTGAATAAAATTGGTTTTAACCTTCAGGGAAACCTAGCCACCACATGTGGAAACACAGCAGCGGGCGTATCTTGATTAAAGTAAAAAACGCAGGACAAGGGGGCTGCCAACCGCTTCATTACCTGTCATTGATCATTTTAATTAATGGCTCTTCTTTATTTCTTTTTTTTTTAATTGACTGAAAGAATTGAAGGCATTTATTGCCTGTCTGGGGCCACTGGGTTAACAGAACCACCCACTGACCTCTGACCATAGTGACTGTTCTTTTTTCATGTCAGCTGTTGTGCTTTAATTCCTCATTTGTTTATATATTTTTCAAATAAGATAGGAAAATAGAAGATTAGCTTGTGAGGACTTTATTGGCGTCTTCCAAGGCTTTCTAAGGACGTGGGAGAAACTAAGCATTAAAATGGCAGAAAAAAAATGTCCTTTAATTGCTGCTCTTAAAAATGTAGGAGTCAGGAGGATGATAGTAACTCAGCACAGTGCCAGAGAGGGATGGATTTCACCAGTAGGTGCCAGTGCAATTATGGGAAATGTGTCTTCTGAGGGTGCCTGGGGAGGGAAGTGCTCATACAGCTTGAAAGGGGTGACTCAGAACTACATAAACTGCAGTTGTGCAGATGCTTAAAGTAGTGATACAAAGCTCTTCCAATTGACCCGTGGCTGCTGGAAGCCTTTTAGACTGGTGTACCTGGTACCTTTATTGGTTTGTTCCCCTGCAAATTGCAGACATATATTTGAGTGGAGGTACACACCTTGAAGCTGCTTAATTGCAAAGTAAACCCAGTGGAAAACAGGCTTTTCACAGATCTACTAGAGGTAGTCCACAGATCCTGGGAACTTGGAGACCACAGGCTGAAAACTGTTTCGCACGGGCAGTGTATTGCACTCAAAACCATTGAAAATTCTGTTCATGATCACAGGAAATTAAGTTAAAACTAAAAACAACAGAAAATGCAAAGCGCAGCATTTCTCAGAGAGAGTGTTACATCTTCATTGTTGTTGTTCTTGGCCTATGGACAACAGAATATGTGATCACTGCTCTATAAGCTTTCAGATTGAGAAACTCATTAGCAATGTAAATGTAGCTTTACCTTGTGGTGTGTCTTGATCCTGGCTTCCAGTAGGGCTGTAACCCTGGGCTTTAGCATGCTCATGGTTAAATTCATAAAAAGTTTGGTCTTTGCAGCATAAAGTGGGGAAGCTGTATCAGATGGAGCTGGCTCGAGGCGTCTCAGCAATGGAAACAAGGCAGATAAGGAGTCAAGCCAGGCTTCTGTGGCGGTAAGGCGAGACTCCGAAGAGCAGAGGCAGTACCCTTACGGAGTCAAGCGCCAGCAGAAAAAGAGCAGAGCCATCAAATGCTGTAGGGACCATGTGTGGATGCCACTCCAGCATCCCAACCTCTTCCCCAACAACAGGTACCAGCGACAGAGAGTAGTTGGCCATTCCAGCAGTCTGGTGTAGGCAGTAAGGATGTGGGCTTTCTGCTGCCCCTAGCAATCACGTCCTTTTTTGCCCCAGACAGTGGCTCTTTTTGGTGGCCAGGGGCTCTTCTGGCAGCTGCAAGTTGCTACAGTGCTGGCAGGATCAACCCTGTGGCAGAAGAGAAGCAGTGTTAAGTGATGCTATCTACTAACCGATAAATATCAACCCCCTCTTTAACTGAAGTGAAAAGATTAATAGCTGAGAAGAACTATTGAGTGTGACCAGTGCGTTTAGGTGCCTTGATTTGGGGTGACAATTTGTGTTGACTTAAAGCAACCTACTTTTCAGAGAGTGTTCTTCCTTCTGAAAAATCAGTGGTATGGCGATATCCCAGATTTGGCTCCCAAAAACTGTAGGCTGTTGATAGTACAAGTTGATTTGGAAAGTCTGGTCCTGCCTTGTGCAGTGCATAGAAACCTTCGCAGCTGCATTGCCCAAAGCAAACAGATGGTTTCACCTTCAAGGTTTTGTCTCATGTAAAATTCGTTTTGTGAATTGAGAAAGAACAATAAACCTTAAAACATGCTCTGAGTGCTGCTTAGCGCGGTTATCAGAGCAATAACAACCTCAAGCAAACACACCGGAAAAGTCATCCTTATCCAGATGGTTTGTGGAATGCTTCTGCTCTTGGAGTGCGGAAGGAGTTAACTAAAAGATCAAAGCTATGAAGGCGGCCAGAAACATGAAAACCCAATGGTGTGAGACACCATAAAAGGGTTAAAAATGACGATGTAAATCATGTGTGTTGGTTAAAATGCTGTGAAAGCGCAGACACAACCTGGAGGTATAATAAATAATCTTTGACTACCTGAGAGCCTTGTGGCCTCTCTTGTCATTAATCAGAAACCACAGACTGAGGGATTGGCTGGCAAAACATTAATCGTTAAGCAATTAATTCCAGCCGTGAAAACAAAACTTTGTGATTTCCTGAGTAGGTGGGATTGAAGGAGGCACTGCATGTTTTTGCTTTTTCACCATAAAGGAAATAAAGAAATACTGAGGAGGTACATACATTCATCATTCAGATGGCATAGAAAATCTCCTTTATTATCCAGTTCTTCCCTTTCTTTTTAATGTGAAACAGGAAGAGGGAAAATCACTACGGGTTTTCCTAGGAAGCCATAATGAGCCTCTCGAGCTTAAGCCTTTCTAGATGTGCGATGCTAACAAAAGGGACTTTATTTCTTGTATCCTGTATGTTCCTCTAGTTCTCTATAAAAGCATGCTAGAAATAGCTTTTTCTTCTTCCCAGCAGCGTCACCACCCATAACAGTTGTCTTGTGAGACTCAGGACGTCCTATCTGTCTTTTTTCTCTTTTCCTTGAATCTCAGTTGCTAATAATTTACACACTACCTCCAGAATCCTAGCTTTCCTTGCTTTTAGTATTTACAGCTGCTATGGAGAAACCTAAAAATGCAAATATTAAAAGCTGAATAATCTGAACACAAGGAAAGTGGAGTCAAAAGCGGGTATATACCGATTTTTATTTTCTGCATTTCATTTATTTTTGCAGATACTTTAATTAGTCAAGGGACCTAGATGACATTTTTTTATCTATTTGGGGTTGGAAATGCTATTAGAACTACCACTTGTATTTTTAAATCTGAAATGTACATGTAAAGAAGAGTCGTAGTCATGTTTTTCATGCCATCACTGAATAGAAACCCGGCCCCTCAAGTGCTGTGAACACCTTTACAACCAACTTGTAGAGACCACCTTTCTGTAAAGTACAGTTGGATGGATGGTGAGGTGTGATATTATTAGAAGCAGCCTAAATAGTGGCTGGGGCTAGATAATTTGCCAAGTGCCACGTTGAGAAGTTCGTGACAGAAACCAACTGTGGTTCTTTGGCTGGTACCTAACGCCTGGCCATCTGCCTCGCCAAGCTGACGGCAGAAACGCTGGGGGAGCAACTGCGGGAGCTGCTACCTCAGATCAGCCTGGGCAGTGATTGCGGTGGGCGAAGGACCTTGTTGCTAGCTTCTGAAGGATTATTCACAAGCTTGAGACACCATTTGTTTTAAATACAGTCGTTTTCACAGCAGAATTGGAACGCCACCTTCTCCTTGCATAAAATGTGTGGAAATATCTAGCCATGAGACATGCAAGGAAAACTTTCATCTAAATAGTTGTCACAGTTCATACAGTGTACACTTTTGACTGCAAAGAGATGTCATCGAAGCCAAGGGTTTTGCAGAAATTAGTACGCTGCCTTTACTTTGTGTGGAAATATCTTTACATACAGTGGTTTCCTTTAATCAGGAGGCATCTTAGAGTTCATGCAGACAATCCATAACATTTATCTCATCTTCTGCTCAGAGGCAGTGTATGGCAAAACGCAGTACATATATTAATATATTAATTACTTAAAAGTTTGCCATCCTCTTTAGAGATACAGTTCCTGCCATAGGTGTACCTTAAAACCCAGAGGTTAAAATAGGTATATTCAGTATGAAAAGTTTTGAGAATATGTTCATCTGGGCAGAAGACAATATATACTGAGAAACAGAATGTTTTGTACTTGTCCGTTATGTCAGACTCATTACAGAGAGCCAATTGCAACAGTCCCTAGTTAAGTAAAACACTCCATGAGAGCAGAATCTGTCCTGCACAGATGGCCTGAATTCATGCGTTGCCACTGAGAGTCTAACTGTGATTATTCTTCATTTCCTCCTTCTTCCCTCAACTTGTGAATTAGTCTCGTTTGAGGAAACAGGATGTCGGCTTGAAAAGCCACCTGGATCAGCTAGACCAACGAATAAGTGAGCTGAAATTGGACGTCAGCAAGACCTCCAGTGAATACTTGGATAGTGACAGCCGACCCAGCTCAGGTAATGTGTACTTGATCATTTGTTCCCAGGGGTTTGGTGCTAGGAGAACTGAAGGATGTCAACTGCTAGGCAAAACTCTCTATTGTTTGGTCAGAAACAGTTCCCCATGGCTGAGGTGGAGAGTAGTCAGAGCATGCTCTCCGAGCTGGTGGGCATTTTCCTGCAAAGTTGACTTAGTTGGAAAATGCTTATTGACTCAAACAGTATTTTTTCTGGATTTTTTTTTTTAAATGGACATTTTAGCCACAAATGGAAGGAGAAAGAGACAGATTTATAATTAAATTACTTTGTCCAGTGCAGAGTGACCATTGGCAAAGTGGTTATAGTACTTACGCAAAGTGAAGGAGGCCAGCATCCATGTTAGTGTTCTGCTTGAATCCAAGAAGTGTCCTGAACCTCACTGCAACTGCAGTGCTCTGGCCAAATGAATGTTTGATCATTTATATAAAAATGAAACAGCTCCATTAAAAGACACTGAGAAAAACCACCCAACAGTTTGCTGACTAAAGCTCTCATGGAGAGAGAGAGACTGAGTTTCAGGTTTCTAGTCTGATTCCCAAAGAGCTGTACTGCAGGCTTGTATAGCTGGGATGTCTGTTAAAACCAGTTTCTGTTATCTAGTCTAGGACAATGGGAATACTTCCTTTTAAACAGAATTTTGAAAAGCCTTAAGTCTTCAGTGAGACACGGAAAGAAACAGCTTATGGATTTGCAGCCTGGTACTTAGAGTGGGTATAAAAGGTGCAAGTTTCTGTAGAGTGTTTGGGTTCAGGAGTTGTGTACTTAGGCACATAGACCCAGTTCAGAAGGAAACCGCTTCATTTTCTGTTTGCTTTATGTAGAGAGGAATAATAAAAATTGCTATCTTGAATTTATGCAGGGCCTTTTTTAATATTTCCATAATTAATTGGCGATGATCGCAAGACCTGGAGAGGGAAGATAGCCTCCGTTCCCTGCCTGTAGACATTCCAGCTGTCATAGACTTGGCAGCTCTGATCACAGACTAGTTTTACTCTACTTTCCCATCCAAGCTGTGCTTGTATGCACCTAGCACAAGTTAGAACAGCGTAAGACAGCCCTATTTTACACCAGTTGCATAATAAACCCCAAAGATGTTCTCCAGTGAAGAAGTGGGCGTGATGGTGCTGCCTTTCACTCAGAACTAGTGCATGCATGTGTGTGCCAAGCTGGCCCAGGGCCTAAGTAAATATTCAGAAGCCCAGTAAAAAAGTGGTGGAATTAGAGTATTCCTTTGCTAAAGTTACCCAAATAAGTGATCATAAATTGTGGCATATAGCAAACAAAGATTTATGCTATTCTCCACATTTTTCTTCTACAGAGCCTGTTTAGTTACTGTAAATAAGAAATATCTTCCTGTTTATTTTAACCCTGCAGGCTTCTATGACCTGAGCGATGGTGGTTCTTGCTCACTCTCCAATTCCTGTACCTCTGTGTACAGTGAGTCCATCTCCTCCTCCCACACCAGTCTCTTGCCCAGCTCTCAACACCCTAAAGCAAGGCTCAGCGTGTTTGATTACCGACCCAAATCTGCAGACGAAACTACTGTGCACACCACCAGCTTCCAACACCAGGGAACCTATGTCAGCGATGGATGTCGGATTACAGCTAGCGCAGACATTGCTGGGACTCCTGCCAGGTCCCGACCAAGGCCAGTTTCCACAGGTAATCGACTGCAGAACTGGATATTCGTTCAAGAGGAGAGAATCCTGGTTATTACTTCTAGGACCTAATAAACCAATGTGTAATCAATATATAGCACTCATTTTCAGTACACAAAGTGAGAATTAATTGAAACCACAGACCCAAACCATTTACTGTCCAACTTTCACTTGTCTCCATACTCAGATTCTTTTAAACAATAATAAATACAAGGACATATGCATTTAGAAGTGGAAAAATATTTAAGTTCATGAGATAAAATTGTAGTGAGCATTGAGATACTTTTTTTTAATTTACCTGCTTGTGAAATCAGAAAAAATTGCAGTATTTTAAATACCTTGTGTGAAGGTGCAGGGGTATACGAAAAAATATAAGGTGAATTCAAAATCAGAGATTGTGTGCATTTTACTGAGAAAGATTTTATAGAAATCTAAGGAGAGACACTTCCAGACCTAGTGCCTGTTTTCTCAGTCGGTTGTAGAATGAGTATGATAATACTTATACATACCTTGCCCTATTTATTCAAATTAGTGTGAACTCAAGTGATCCTCCTTTTTCATAATTTATTATATACAGTTAGGGATAATGGACACCAAAGGTTAATTGACTATCTAGCAACCAGTCATGAGCCTAACAGTGGATCAACCATTAATTTGCATCATGTCTTTAGACAAATTGGACAAGTCTATTAATATTCCAGATCTCTTGTTTACCCATCTATGAAGTGACATCATGTCACTTCTTATTTTGGGTCCTTCCATGGCCTCGGAACAACCTTGTGTTAGTGCAGTTCGTATGGTGAACAGTGTGTGACAGTTCCACTATGGAAACAGGGAAGCCATAGGGAGCATAATTTCAAATATCCTGTCACTCTGGAGTCATTCTCACAGCTGCTTGACTTGAGCTAGCTCACCTCTGGCTTGCTCAAAGCAGAAGCAAGATCACCTGTTCTGTACCTATCTGTGCAGACACACCTGAAACGATGATGGTAAATTACAGCATAAAAGCCAAGTCTCTTCAAGGCTTCTCAGAGGCTGGGGATGGAGCTGAGCTGAATGATTTGTGGCTTCCATGTTCAGATTACAGTCTTCTTGTTCTATCAGAAATTTTCCTGCCTTGCAACGTTTTGCTAAGGTGGTTTTTTTGGATATGGAGATAGACTAGCAGAAAAAGGGATCGCTGATATAAAGTAGGGTACAGGAGCGGGGCTACAGACCTCCTTCAGCTCTCCTTGCTTTTCCCTCTGACACCTCCTTTCCTCCTGCCTACAACCTCTTACTTTATTCAGTGTGAGAAACACAAATAGTGGGGTAGTAGTGGGTGTAGTCTCAAAGAAACAATTCTCACAAGGTTGATGACATTGCAGGAAGTGAGGCAAGATGTTTCTTCAGAAAAGCATCATTTGGAGAGGGGAAGGAATTTCTCTTTTCCTCTCCTTAGCTTGTCCCGACGGGTAGCTGCAGCTACAAACTGATTGCTTTTTCTTTCAGTGGCAAGGCGAAAGCTTGCTGAGACACCACAAACACAACATTCTTTTGACACTTTCCTGGTTTGTTTGCACAAGAGAGCACCACTACACACTGACAGCAATTTCCTGAAGAATTTTTCGTTATGAAAATATATTGTTTGAGAAATCATCATCCTAACATTTGCTATAGCAGGTCTGTACATGCCGTAGGTAGGATGCTACAGACAACACCAAATTTTCAAGCCTTTCAAAAGCTTCCTGTCACAGGACAGAAAGAATTACTGTAAGTGAAATACGTGATTGGATTTGATGCCTGGGTTTCCTGGTAGCATGAAGCAGCCAGGAAATCAGTTAGGTGAGGATTTGTTGGTACTGAAGTCTGCACTGTTGTACAGAGAAATCCAAGCTAACTGCACATGGTTCCAGTCCTCTTGGTAGCAGAGGTAACACAACACTATAGTGCTCTGTTGGATGGCTTGTCTGGATGGAACAGTCTTGCTTCACACAAGAACGCAGCCTGTACTCTCGGCACACAGGAGATGCTCCTTAGAGGAAGGTGCAGCAGTCAAATGTAACTTACAGCAACCTTGACAGTACTCCAAAAGTGAAGAGGTCTCTGTTGGTGGCCATAAATGCCATCTACAGGGACTAAGCCTCCCATCTGCCTGAGTAGTTACCCTCAGATTTCTTTCTATGTCAAAGTAAAGGTTCTTTAGTCCATTCTTCTGCATCCTTAAGGTTGACTTTTAAAAAACCCACACATACAATTATGGCATTCCTACTAATAAAATCTCTGAATATTTCTTTCCAGAATTAAATACTCAAAGAAGTTGCTTACTTGAGAAAGGCATGAGACTGGTAATGTTATCAAATGAAATGAGAGATCCAGTTCGGAGGTTTCATTGGATTTTGGGTTAAGGAAAAGTAGAATCACGTCACTCTTTGGCCTGTGGGACACATGAGTCTTAAGGGCTCTCCTGTGTGCGTTGAGTGCTTCTGTTTACTAATACCTTACTAAAGCAAAATGCAAAAGAATAAACAACTACAACTTCCAGCATTTAAGAGGTTAAGAAACACTCTGACCTAGTGTCTGCTTAAGTCCTCTTAAAGCATCTGGTTGAGTACTGTAGATTTTTCCAAGACACATTATATAAAAGGGTTGGAGGAAAAGCTGGAATTCAAATTAACCACTTTAAAAAAAAATACCATTGACCCTGCATGCTGGAAATTTCAGGAATTTCTGGGTTATAGTCATATATCCAGAGGAAGTATTTATCCTGTCCTGGGGAGAAAGTGTTCAAAAACTGTATCTGTTGTATTGGATAATACTACGTGACATTTAGCTCCAGGCTTTCTGGCTGTTGGATTCACTTCTTATCTCTGCTAAAAAATAAAAATAATCCCTTATTTTTGTTTAGATGGTTGGGCTCCTATTAGTCTGTGACATTCTAGAACATTTTTATATATGCACAGGTTTACTTCCATACATGTAGCACAGTTTAAATTTCCTGCAAAGGCATGAGTTTTATTATTGGGACTAAAAGGCATTCTAATCTCTGTGATGCTCAGGTAAATAAAAGCCTAGAAGTAATTCAGTTATTGTGGAGGACTGAAACAATTTTCTTCGTTTGTGCTACTGATTCTAGTAAAAGCTAGTACATGCCTGTGAAATAGCACTTTTAGCAAAAGTCAGTTTGAATGTAATTGTCTGTGATTTAATTAGGTTATTTCTTTTCATCTGCCATGTAGGTGACTTGGAAAGACTCATTCCAGCAGGTGCTAGATTTCAGAAGGAGACAGATCCCAAATCCATGTTGCCTCAGTGCCAGGCCAGAGACGTGCACTTGCTCAGCGTGGACCCCAAATTCCAGAACGACTTGGTCTCCAAGAATGGCATTGATGTGTATCCTTACCCAAGCCCCCTTCATGCGGTGGCTTTACAAAGTCCCCTTTTCTCCCTGGTGGGGACATCCCCAGAGGCAGACTTTCAGGTTCCTCCCAGCAAACCCACATCCAGTGAGACAGGTCCCAGCTTGATTAGGACTAGGCCAACCACTGAGGCCAAGCCAGGGAGTTACATCAGTAAATTACTGCAGCTGACGAGATGCAAAGGGAACAATCGGGCTGATGCCAGCGAGTGGGTTTCAACAAAGAGCCAGCCAGCCCCAATGCACCAAAGACTCATTATAACTCCCAGTGCCGGTGGAGTGAAAATTAACAGCAGCAGTAGCCAGCTGGAAAAACAAGCGAGTTCTCTGGAGAGTAACAAAGCTGAAAGGAAGCTGCGGAGAGAGGTGCCGGAGGGGGAATGTGCCAAGCAGCAGGAGACCATGCGCTGTGTGAATGAAGAACAGCCATCCGCTCGGCCTGACATGGAGTCATCAGCTGTGAATAGTTGTTATCCTGCCAAGTCAGCAGCAAGTGGCTCTCCTCTGGCAGAAGCAACGGAGAGCAGCGTGGAGTGCAGTTCATCCTGCTCACAGTTGTGCCAGGAGGACTCCAGCACGGGCAGCTGGAACTCTAAAGCTGTCCCACCCAGAAAGCTGTCCCTCAAAAGGTGTGGTAATGCCAAATCGGCTAACGCTGGGGGTCATGAGCGAGTGGTACAGAGTGAGTTCGTTCATGCTCAGTTCGTACCTGCAGAATCTCACCAAATTCGGGTCAGGTTTGCCAGCTCCAAAACAAAGGCGGTGAAGGTAAAGAGAAGGAACAGTGAAAAGGTGCTGCGGCCTGGGAAGCAAACCTTTTGCATGGAGAAGGTGAGAGGGGTCCATGGAGCTGCCAGGCTGCCTGCTGAGTGGAATCAGCCCCAGAGGCCACACGGAACAAAGAGCCTCATGCGGAGACCTTCGTATTCTGGTGATGTGACAGGCAGGTCATGCTCTGAGTCTAGCCTGTTCCCTGTGCAGTTCAGGCTCCCCACCGTGCCATCCAGGTATTCCCTTGAAGCAGCTTGCACGGGCAACAAGAAGAAGCAGCGCAAGTGGCAGTCCACAGTGGAGATCTCTGCCAAGGCCCACCTGACCAGCCTGTCCAGTGGCTTTGGCCTGGGAGCACCGAGGCACCCGGCAAGGAGAACTGGCGTCCTGCGCACTGTCAGAATGAGGGCTCGCTCCAAGAGTCAGCGCCACGAAGCTTATGCCAGAAGTGAGTCAGACCACTCCGAGTACTCTGCGGAGTGTGCTTCCCTCTTTCACTCCACCATCGCAGAGACCAGTGAAGGGGAGGTCAGCGATTTCACGATGAACCGTTTTGGGGACAGTGAGTCCAGTGAAAGCGATTCGGATGGCAGCAGTAACGGTAGCAGCCTTGCTCTTGACTATGATGAAGGGGATGAAAGTGAGCTGATCTGGCCTGAAGGTTCGGTCAGACAATCGGGGACTGTCCTGGTCTCTTCCAAGCCTCTTCCCCCAGTGCCCAAAATCTGTCGCATCAAAGCTTCAAAGGCACTAAAGAAGAAGATTAGGAGATTCCAACCTGCCTCTCTGAAGGTTATGACGATGGTTTAAGGGAGAGCAAGCATCTGTTTGTTACAGTGAGACGTCCTGCTGGTTCTCATTTGTGAAACAAGAGAAGCCATGTGCAGAGAAAAGGACTTGCTTAAACGAACTGTGAATAACCCCTGCATCGAGACAAGGGATCTTCTTGTTTGTTAATGCCTGGACATAAACATCACTGTATCTAATTTCCTCTTTTGTCATTTATTCTGTAAATATGGATCTGTGTATATTATGTGATGCCTTTTTTTGCTATACAGAAGGGTCACCATGGTGAAACTGCAAACAGCCTCTGCCATAAGATTTTGCAGACAGGCTCTCGATGGTTTGTTGACCATATGCACCCACAGAATCAGTCCCAGACACAAAAGCTTCCCAAGAAGAGGGACTTTTCCCAACTGGATATTTGGGAGCATCCCTCCCTCTTGTGAGGAGTTCTTTGGCAGTCTGAAGTCTGCATTAACCATCCAGCTGTCACTGCGCTTGTATGGAAAAGCTCTCAGTGCTCTTCATAGTTTTACTTTCTTTCAGATCAACCGTCCCATGCCTTCTCCCAAACATTAGGAGGACAAGTCTGTTCCTCTGCAAAAACTTACTATGCTTGATCAAGAAGGCAGATGTATTTGTGAATGAGAACAAGATTTCATTCAGTTTTCAAAACTGAAAGTATAGGGTTTTTTTTCCAAATCCCCTCTTTATGATGTTCCATGTTATTGTTCATTCGTTAAATTGGTGTAAGAACATGAGGGCTCGGTGCCACAGTGTGTGAATAGCTAGGACCGAGATTATAGCTTTGCCACTGAAATTGCAGACTCAATAAATATTATTTAATGTACTTCTGAAAATTGTGCTTGTCTGACTTTGGTGTCCAAAGAAAATTATTCTGAACTCAGCGTCACATCAGAGAATGCGGAGGAGCTTTCTTTGGTGAAACAGATCTGTGTTTTGATGATTGCTGTGCAGAGGGGTTCTTTTTTTTATTTTTCAGAGGGTTGCTGTAGCTCAGTCAGAACCTGCCTTAGCACCTGCTTCTAAATGGGTGAATTTAAAACCAGTATTTGCACGGAGGACAGGGTAGTGTTTAACTGACTCACTCAAATCGTTGCAATTTGGCCACAAGACAGTCTTAACTTAAAACACATTTATGTATGCGTAATGTGTTTTGAATGTATTTGAGGGCACTTACGTGAAGCTTTGAATCAGTTGCTAAACTTTGATAAAGTGATTTTTTTTGTGTTCTGGCAAGCAGTCCTAATTCTTTCCTCTGAACACAGCAATCTGGAAGCTGAGCTGAAGTTCACCCTGTGTTTACCAAAGAGCAGGTTTTATTCTCCTACCCTGTCTCAGTGCCCAATCTGAATACATTCCTGGCCTAGGAGATGGAGGCATTACCTCATTCAGCCGAGTGTACTGGGTCTGAAACAAAAGGCAAGTGCTTTGCAGAGACTGGGTGAAACAGTGCTTGTTTACTCCAAGGATTCGTTAGGAAACAGAAATATTGAAAGACTAAACTTTTAGCCAATCCCTTCTATTCTTCGGAAGCTATGTTATGGTTTTAAACTGCTCTATTTTCAAATCATTTTTGGAAAATGAGGTAGAGAAAGCTAAAAGTTAAGTAAAGTCATTTAATTCAAGTATTTGAGCCAGTGCTTAACACCATCCTTACTGCAACTAGGAAAATATTACATTTTAGTTGGTGGAGTATGCTTAAACATTATTTCTTGGTCCCGAGAGTATTAGATGTAATCACTCTGGTAGGATTAATGGGAGAATTTCACAGGTCTGGGGGTGGTTTCTTGTTGAGCATGTCTAGCAACAGAACAAAGTAGTGATTTATGCCTTGTTGACTTTGTACACCACAAAAGGATTCTTTTTCCCATTTACACAAAAGGTTTTGCTTGGGGGAGTGTGTCAAAAGTTAAACATGAACCTTTAATCCAGGGATTTTCTGTACTGGAGTGGGGTTTATTGGTTAGATATGAATTTTGAGGGTGGTTTTTTCATGGGAGAGGAAATTGTTCCTAACTAGAAAACAGCTCTGGGTAGGAGTGTTCTGGAACCTGGTAAAAACCACCACCCAGTAGCTCCCTGCCTTTTTGTCAAAGTAGTAAGCTCAAACAATAAGTTTGTGGTTCCACAACTTGGTAAATCCCACTGTAGGGCTGTTAATACTCTGTCAGAAATGTTGCCAGACACGTGATGAAAGTGCTGATCCAGAATGAACTCGCGCTGCCAATTCAAATAAAGAAAAATTATGACTTCATTTCGTACTGACAAGTTTTATGCCAGATGAGGTATCACCGCTGCTCTACCACTCACGCTTTCTGCCAGGTCAGGTAACGTCTCTCCTCCCAGAGCCAGCGTAAAGCCAACGAAGCCTCATAGTGAGAATCGGGGATGCCTCATGGTCATGGCAATAGAAATAAAAAAAATTCACTGTCTCTTTTCCCTTCCAGAAGGAATCCACAAAATCTTTTTACCTCTCAGCGTCTTGTACTACAAAGGCCTAAGAGAATGCGAAAAATGTCAGTGGAGGATTCAATTAGAAGTCTAGCAGCAAACCTGCTGTGCTTTAGGAGTGAGAAGTTTAGCACTTTCTCTGTGACTTGATTAGCAAGTGTGTAGATCTGACGGGCTGTCTCAGAACTGCTTTGTGCAGCGTCTCAGGTGCGGGAGCTAACATCTGTCATCATCGCTCCAAGCTCTAGTGAAACAAAATCCCCCACTGCTGAAACCAAATCAAGCAGTTTCCTTCTGTCAAAGGCAGATGTTTACACTTCGGTGTAGGAGCAAATTGCTCCTAAACCACAAAGGGAAGACAAGAAAGAGAAAAATAGAAAGGGTATTAAGCTTTAAGAGCAATTTGCAGAATAGATCGGAATTCTGATTTTTAAAACTTCATTAACACTTTTATTGCTCTAATAATTTTGGAACTGGATAATTACCAGTCTTCTTGGCCTTGACACAATTTTAGATTTTCAAGTCCTCATCCTGTACCCAAACCATGGGATAGAGTCTCTGCCGTGAGACAAGCAGCTTGAATGACCATGTATAGAACATTTTTTTAATCTGGGAAACAAGGAGTTCTATGTCTGAAACTTGCCTGTGAGGATTACAAACGTACAATGACACCAACACAGCATTTAGGCACAGTGTCTCATGTCTTATGTGGATGTGAAGGAGACCTGGGATTCCACCATTAGCTGCTACTCTGTACAGACAGCTACTGGGACGCTTCAGCTACAGGTGAGGAGCCTGTAACCAGCTAAGGGCTGGTTTTTGGTGTTTGTACTTAGGTTTAAAACCACCGCAGTATGTCTAATTATACCACAATGCAGAACATCAGCAGAATCACAGCTGAAATGAGCAGAAGTCCAGCCACCATCAATTCTATAAATTCCATCTGTTATCACTATAATGAAGCCTGGAGACTATTGTTAGGTGATATTGATTTTTTTTCCCAGGCATTCCAGTGTTTTTCCTTTTTTTTTTTCCTGGATCAGCAGTTGTAACTAGAGATGCAGTGCATTAGATTCACCTGTGATATAATTCCTGGGAAGTCACTGGAGCTACCCGACAGATTCGTTTATCCCCCTCATGCTGTTCTCAAGATGTCAGCAAGCGGGATGATTGGCATGACAGATGGAAAATAAGGAGGATTTCAGACCTCAGTTTCGTTCTTGGTTGGGTGTGTTCGGTGGAAGTAACTGTGTTCCTGGCTGGGGAGAATCCTGCTGCTGTGTCACATCTGCATTAGCAGCAGAGCAGGGGAGGTGGTTGGGGCTATGCACAGTGATTTCATGTTTATTCTGGTTTTTAAAACACAAATTGAAAGAGTTATCAGCCATCTGGTGATGCTGTAAAACTACAAAGCAAGAGAGGAGAAAGCCCACGCATCAAATTGACCAGGCAGCGCTGCCCAGGCAATGCTGAACCCAGACAGCAGACTTACAAGCCCCAAATGAAGAATCTCAGTTTCAGACTTGAGCAGAGGGATGGGCTTAAGAGCTCTGTCAAATCACTCTGGGTGCCTGGTCTTCAGCATCCAAGATAGAGATCTCAAGCTAACAATTTGCCCTGAGAAATATGCATTACTGCAAACCTTTACTACTACATTTACATGCAATATTTTCTCTCCATTCCTAGTGTCCCAAAATTGGTTCTAAAAAGCTCCAGGTTCTAATTCACTCAGTGCGTTACTACATTTAAGGCTCTGCCAAACTCTTCTGCAATTTCCAAGATGGAATGATATGGATACATTCACTCTTGAAACAACAGGATGTATCCTCCAGCAAGCAGGAATCCAGAAATGAAACTTGCACCTACACAGCACGTTGTAGCATCAACAAGAGCTTTACTATTTGACATATAAATGTTCAAGACTTTGTCTAGACCACTGCAATGCTAAAACACAAAATCTGAAATCTTCTAAGATCATTAGCTCATTCACTGCTGAAAGCCAAGAAGTTCAATTACAAAAACAGTCGTTGGGTTTGACCACTGTCTGGGTATACGGAATTTGGTAGAAAAATGCCAGTAGTGTGGCTTTTTATGCATTTTGTTTCCATTTTCTACATAGCATTCCCTAAAGAATAAAGTCAAAAGAAGTTAATTTTCATGTTCTTCGTTAGGAGGACTTGACCCTCCCTTGACGCACTTGGACATGCAAAAGTGCAAGAGAAGACATGAATTTTCAGGATGAAAATTGGTTGTGTCTTAAGCGTGCAATGCAGAAACCATTTTTTTAACCTATTCAATGGCAAAGAAGTGGAAGAAGTTAATTAATAATTAATACCCAAAGTGTCCCATGCTGAGATCATTGGAATTAAACAGATTCATCACCTCAGATGCAATCTATGGCAAAGGGCTACGTGAGCAGAAATTATTTGCAAAGGAAAAGAGGTTTTCCTGATTATATACTAGGTGTGCTCACTATCTGTGCTGCTTGCCATCCTTCTGTCCATAACCAAATCAATATCTCTTGTCTCCCCAAAATTGCTATTTCACCATGGCATTCATGAAAGAGCAGCGTGCTTATTAGTTGCACTGTAGCCTCTGATTGCTGAGAATTTCACCTTGTCATAGAACTCCCAGTATTCCATAAGGTTGATGAAGGTATTTCTTGGAATGGAAATTTGCCATACATCTTCACAGTGTTTGCAGATATTTGGGAAGAGGCAGTTCGGGGGATGGGTGGATGAGATTATGTCCACAGACATGGCTTTGGAAGGAAAGCAGAAGTTTTGAACTACGCTGTCAC